GAAGACGTGCTACCTGAAGAAGCCACCGTCGAAGAAGAAACTACTCAGTTTTGAGAAGGGAAGTGGTGAAGCTCTTGATGAAGTTACTACTACTGATGTGACTGTTACTGATGATAGGACATTTCCTGATGAAGCAGATGAACTCCACATGAAGCAGAAGCCAACGAGACGGAGACCAGTACGGAAGAAGATCCATCCCGTAAAATTAAGAGACTTTGTTAAATTGTAATTTTGTGTTTGTAATTCTGTACATTTAATTAAGTTATTGTTAATTGTTATTGGTTTAATGTAAGTGGCTATTGTTCAGGATGAACAATACTAAGGAGGGGGTATTGTTGCGTCAGCGAGGTCATGTGACTAGTATCATGCCACCTGTTTCTAGAAATATCCTGTTCCTTCAAAAATGCCCTGGCATTTACTAGATATGTGTTAGTCTTGTATATATAAGATGTTCACAACGTAACGGGACAACAGAGGTAATGAGTAATTGAACTGCAGTCAGAGGAATATTGTTAAGCACGTGAGAAGTTCGTTGAGAATTATAGCGTCTGTTACAGAGCGACTGTTGAAATTAAGTGTATCGTAAACTTGTATTCGGAAAGAATAAACCAGTTTTATTTAAGAAAGGACTTGTGTCGCTAAAGTTTCGTCGGAACGAAGTTACGGAAATTTAACTAATGAACCGAGACGTAACAACATATTAATGGAAGAAATCTAACAGAACTTTGCTCTAGTTGACATGCTGGATAAAAAAATTTACTTATTCTGATGTCTTTAATTTCTCTCCCTCCCTACAAACTGCTATCAACATTGTAGAACTGCTTTCTAAATACTTACATGTCACATGCACTAGATTTTTTGGTTAGCTTGAACTGAGACTTTGTCAAACGGAGTCGTTTCTTTTCTTGATTTGTGGTGATCTTGCTCTCCCTGTGTTCCTGAGAGTCTCTCTCTTTCTGTTGACACTTTGGTGAAAATTACTTAAGTTTAATACTAATAGTCAAATACAACCAGTTTCTTAAGTTATAAATGTCCTTTATACTAAAATCAAAAACAGTGCCTTATTGTGAGAAATGGAATACTTTCTATAGCTAAAATAAAAAATTTACAACAAGTTGAAAGCCTAATTTATGTATTGTTGGGTGTTTTTTTTTATTAATTGGTAAAGATAATGCAAAGTCTGATCCAAATATCAAGAACAGTTTAGTTTATTCCTTTCTTAACATTTGCTACAACCTTCTATCATTTATAGTTGTAGGCCTAAGGGCACAAAAAACATTTCAAGGAAAATTCAACGACTAACTCACAAATAAACTTATTTATAGAATTTCCTTGCTAATCATTACAGTAACTGAATAGATGTGATCATGACACGCGGTAGTGTGTCATGTGGCCAAAAGAACCTGCAGAACACATTATTGTTATTAACTGCAGAGTTAGTTTAGCAATTTTCTACTTTCTGTGACATATTTTCAGTGGATCTCCCCAGTGGCACAGCAGTATGTCTGCATACTTACAATGCTGGAAACCATGTTACGATATCCGTGGTGGGCAGAGCACAGATAGCCCATTGTGTAGCTTTGTGCTTAACTATAAACAAACAAATACATGTGATATAAATTCTCCAATTTTGATTGAATTTTTTTCCTCACAACGAAAGTAAAAAAAACGTTATTAGATAGAAAACATATTTAACTTTCCAGATTTTTTGTAAAATTTGGTACACTGATAGATCTTAACAGCTTACAATTAGGGGTCAAATGTGGTCTAAATATAAGCCTTATGTGCAATTTTGAATTAGAGATTGAAGAGAGAAGACATTTAAAATCATATTTCCAGAATCTCTCCTACGATCAACATTACGTTTGTTTCCTTACACCCCACATCATGGGGTGGAGTGGTAAGGTGAGTGCTAGTTCCACTCCTGACCCAGAACCAAAGCACCAAACCACCGAGGGCTCTAGTACCTCGGCACCAGTTTCTCTCCCACGTATAGGAACAAGATCTACAAGTAAGCCCTTGCTTGACTCCTGATGAGCAGCTAGCCATGATTGAAAGCTGCGTCAAAAAGGCTACCAGCTGTTCCAGCCAAGTTTCATCACCACCTAACACCATGAAATCCACTATATCATCCACCGTGACTAACCAAGCCATCAGGGCACTGCCAAACAAGCAACCCAATCCCCCTCAAGCCTCTACTTCTACTAGTCAGCAGCCAAAACCTCCTCCAGTTATCATCATGAAAGGAATCCTGGCCAGTTACAGGCATCCAGAAATAGCTCTTTCCCAAGATACGCTTCACCAATATTAAAAGACTAACCAAAGAAGGAGTTGTCATTAAAACCAACACTCCAGCCGACTATGCCAAACTCCGCAAGCCCTAAGACCCTTCAGCCTTCCAGAATACCAAGCTTAATGTTAACATTCCAGGGGATGATCAACACGATAACTCTCATACTATCATCATCAGAAGTGTACCATTTGACATCATGCCAGAGGAAGTATTACAAGAACTTCAATCGCAAGAAATATCCGCCAAAAGCCGAGAGTTAAATTTGTCCAGACTGACCAAGACACTCTTCTCACCGAGTGTGCCTATTTGATGGAAGCCAAGCCACAGATCTAATTAAGAATGGAGCCAACCTCTGGTACATCCACCACACAGTTTAAGCAGCAAGACCCAAACAGCTACCCCATTTCCAGTGTTTCCACTACCAAAAGTTTGCCACACCTAAGCCATTTGTACATCCAGGATAAAGTGTGCACTGTGTGGAGAAAAGCACCCAGTAGCTGATGTCCACAGCAATGCCACGAAGCTACTTGTGCCAATTGTGGAGGACCACACATCGCCTCCTACCAAGGGTGGCCCAAATATCAGTAGGTATTTAGGGTAGTCCATTCAGCCAATGTACCATCCCAAGGAACCTCTAGCATTACAACCCAGCAAGTTCACTGCCAGCTCTCTCTGAACCAAGGACACCATCATACCAGTAGTTAATGAGACCAGAACCAGGATCAAGCCAACAGGGATACTCCAGGACCTATGCCGACATTGCCAGATGTTCGTCAAGACCTCCAGCCTTGCAGATGCATCACAGCATTTGTAGCGAATATTCTTTCCCACCTCCAGAGACCTCCTGAACAATGCATGCCACGCAGAAAATTTCTACTTCACCGTCTAAGGAGTCACCTTATATGATCTCAAGACACTCATCCATGGAAGAATTGGCCAAGCTGCACCAAGGACTAGGTAAAATGCTCAAATATTTTGCATATTAATAGTGGTTTACATTACAAAAAGTTGAACTATTTAACTTGAACGAAAAATTAAATGTAAACATAAAAACAATTAATGAAACATTCTTAACGCCTAATAGTAATTTCAATTTTCCTAACTTTAATGATAAGGCTATACCTAAATCCCTAGACAAGGATTAATTTTACTTTGTAAAAAGACCTTAAAGTCACCTTTCCCAACCTAAACATAAACACCAACAATGAATATATATTATGTCACATACACATTCCCAATCATGCTACAATCATACTACTTGCCACATACATCTCACCTAAAAAAGAACCAGACATCAATCTGCTTCTAACAGTAATTGATCACAACAAGCATATAATTATACTTGGAGACCTCAACTCAAAATATCAAAACATAATGGTAATATTCTATACAGTTTTGTCGAAAATGATGATATATTAGTCATTATTGATAACACGCCAACTCACCCACACTACAACAATTCACAAGACATCCTAGACTTAGCAATCATTTCACAATCACTTATTCCATATACAAACGATTTTAAGGTATTACAATACATTGGGGCATTCACAACGCCATTCCATTTAACATAACATAATATTTTGGGACAACATGGGATCTATTGGTCATCTCAGCTGTTCCATTATTCAAAACTAAATTAAAATGATTACAAAAATAATAATAATAAAATTTTAAATCCAGTCCTTTTCATTCATATACTTATCAAGCTTTTTCTTAAACTCACTTAAATGTACAGCCTCTACAACATCTGAAGGCAACCCATTCTAAAGGCCAACCACCCTGTTAGAAAAATG